ATTCTAGAAATAGTCCTGGGACTTCAACCCTGGATGGCCACTGGGTGGCAGTGTATACCCACTTTTGAGCTGAAGGAGGCAAAATCATTTTTCTGTTTTCAAGGACAGTAATGCCCACCCAGAGTAGGAGTTCTTCCTCTCCAGTCTTTCTTTTCTAGGACACCTGACTTTGTAGAAGCCCCCAGGGGTGGAGAGCAAGAATACTACCTGGTGGTTTCCGAGGTGTCCTGGTGCTAGGGTGGGGCAAAAGAGGTGCCTAAGGTGCTGTCACTCCCAGGTACACCACCTTTGACCTCTTAAATTTTGCACTGTGGCATCTGGCTGGCCTCACCTTCCTCCTGGCCTTGTTCTGAGGTTGAGTAAGAGCCAGGCTACTGTCACTTCTTACACCTCCTGCTATATTAAGAAGAGAAGGAAACTGGTTATAAAAATACACAATTTTTAAAAAGATTTTATTTGAGATGGAGAGTGAGCACTAGTGGTGGGGAGGGTCAGAGAGAGGGAAAAGCAGACTCCCCACTGAGCACAGAGCCTGAAATGGGGCTTGATCCCAGGACCTTGAGATACAACCTGAGCCCAAGGAAGACGCTTAACCAACTGAGCCACCCAGGTGCCCCCAAAATACTCCATTTTTATATACAAACTTAACATTATATACAATTTTTTGAGAGAGCAGCAAGCAAAGGGAGAAGTAGAGTCCCCACTGAGCAAGGAGCCCAGTGTTGGACTAGATCTAAGACTCTGGAATTATGAGCTGAAGACAAGACACCCAACTGACCCACTCAGGCATCCCCAAACAACATTCTAATGAACAACAACACAAAAGACTACATGTAAAACCACTTGGAAACTATCAAAAGTTTCGGTTTGTACCTCAGTGAATGTGAGGCCCAGGCAAGACGGCCATTCTCACTACCACAACCATGTTGGCTGTGACAGGTCTTGGCTGGGGCTTCTCCACTGGGTTGCAAAGCCATTCCTCTAAGGATTTCTCCATCCTGTAACCCAGCTCTGCCTCAGCTCAGAGACCACGTCTATCAGGAATGCCCTAGCTCCGCTTGTCCTCTTTCCTCTTTTCCACATGGGGCTAGGCTCCCAGACTCCTCCCTATCTGAGTTGCAAGGTCCAATGGGTATTTCTTAACTTTCATTTGATGTAGTTAATTCCTCATAAAACACTCAAGTTTCCTTTTCTCCGTAAAATTTTAAAAATTTTTAATACTCCTCCCTTTAAGAGGTGAAGACTAATTCCCTTCCCCTTGAATATGGCCTGGACTTAGTTATGTAATTTTAACAAATACATGTCAGAAGTGACTGTGATTTCCAGGATTAGCCCATAAAAAAGCATTGCTGCCTCTTTAGTCTCTCTTGGGTCAATCTGGGGGAACCAACTCCATGTTAGGAAGACACTGAGGCACAAGGCCCTGTCCTCTGGAGAGGTCCATCAGGGAGAACAGCTTCCCACCAACAGCCATGTGAGTGAGCCATCCTGGAGGTGGATCCTCCAATTCCAGTCTAGCCTTCATGGAGCTGTAGCTACAGCCAGCATTTGCACTACAACCTCATGAGAAGTGAGCCAGAACCACCCAGCTACGCCACTCAAATTCCTGATCCACTGAATTGTGAAAATGTTGTTTTAAGCTTGCCAAGTTTAAGTGTAGTTTGTTACAATGTAATGGGTAGCATGTATCCTTCCCTTTCTATTCCCCTCAACCCAGATTTATTTTTCCCCATTTTAATTATTGCCATCTGATATACTGTGTATTTCCCCCAATGGAATTATACCATTATGTTTTATTTATTCCATGTCCAACAGCATCTAGTATAAAGGTGCTCAGTAAATATGTGTTGGATGAATGGAGGTCTATGTCTATCTGTCTGTCTTTGTCTCTGTGAGGTGGTTTAGGATCAGATGGGAGTTCAGTGAGGGTGTAAGAGACAGCCTCTCCTCTTTACAGATGAAGAGAGAGATAATGCTTATTGCTTACTCTCAGCCCTTCTCAGTTGTAGCCCTCCTGGCCCAGACCCCAAGGACAGGTTTACTATGCTTGATTGAAGATTGATTTCCTTCCTTTTGGGAGTAGTTGCCCAATCCCTTGCCCCTGTCCTCCTCCACCCTCTGCAAAGCAGTCTCCAAACTCTCAGAAATGGAATTTCCCTAAGCCAGTTTCTATCTTTCCAAGAAAATCTTAACCATCTTTCTCTCCAGGTACCCCCTCTTCTCAGAGCAGGGGTTTGGGTATGGGGTAGGGTTTAAGGGGAGCAGGGTGGGCACAGGAGCTCTTCAGAGCTCTACCCTCTGTCCTCATTCCCCAGGAGCCCCTAGGACATGTCTGCCAGCTTCTGCACCTTCAGATTCTCCCCTCTGGGTCCGGAAGAGGGAGCAGGACTCTTCAGGAGAACTCACACCACACAAAGCTATGGGGGAGCAGGCATCAGTACTGAAGGCAGTTGGATCACCAAGGCTGCTTCTTGGGAGGTTAGGGTTGTCTGGCTGTCAGGTCTGAAATGTAAGCAGGAGGACACTGGAGTGAGCTAAAGGTGTGAGCAGTACTGAGTTTCAGTATGACCAGGGATGGGTCAAAGAGAACAAGGACTTAGTGCTGCAGTGGAATCTGGGCAAGGGACAAGGGTGGAGGTTAGAGGACAAGAAGAGTGGCGAGGTGGGGCGCCTGGGTGGCTCACTGGGTTAAGCCTCTGCCTTCAACTCAGGTCATGATCTCAGGGTGCAGGGATTGAGCCCCACATGGGGCTCTCTGCTCAGTGGGGAGCCTGCTTCCCCCTCTCTCTGCCTACCTCTCTGCCTACTTGTGATCTCTCTCTGTGTGTCAAATAAATAAATAAAATCTTTCAAAAAAAAAGAAGAAGAAGAAGAAGAAGAAGAAGAAGAAGAAGAAGAAGAAGAAGCCCTGCAAGGTGTTACTGAGCACAAGAAGAGAAGTGAGAAGAGCTAGTGATCCAGGCCAGGACAAGCTGGGTCTGAGAGGAGGGGAGGGGAGGGGAGGGGAGGGGAGGGGAGGGGAGGCAAAGTCACACCTGGATTTCTGCCTCCTGGAGGAATCTTGGCCCTGAGAACAGTGTGCCTCACTGGGTGTGAAGTCAGAGGATGGTCCCTGGTGCTGGCTCTGACATAGCTGAGTTTCATACTCAAACCAGGTGTCAAACCAACAGATACAAGTTGTTCACTCACACACTTGGAATCATTTCTGGATGGCTGTCATGCTTGTGGTAGTTCCATCCCATTGGGCACAGGAAGAAACTGGAGAAGTTATGAGGGTGCCTAGGAAAGGGAGGGGGTATCCAAGCTTCTCAGAGGAAAAATCAAATCATGGCCTGCCACTCAGCACCCCCAAATAAGATAAAGAATCTCAGCCTCTGGGGGATCACTGGGGGTAGAGTGGGCCTGGAACAGTTGGCTGAAGGGGTCTGGAAATAGAAACTGTGGAGTCACACACAAAATGGTTGAGGAAGCATGTGAAAATTGGCAAAATGATAAGAATGACAGTTGAAATGTGGGATGGATACCAGAGGTTCATAATACTATTCACTCTCCTTGGGTATATGTTTGAAAATGTCCATAACAGAAGATTACAAAAGCTTTAAAACAAAACAACAACAAAGTGTGAATGTATCTGCGTGTGGCGTTTGTAGCCTGCTGATGTGGGTGCTGAAGCAGTTCAGGGACCTCTGCGTGTCAGTGCAGATGTGTGCCTTCACCACCGTGGGCACGGACTGCGCAAGCTGCAGCGTGCCTGCGGTTGGGGACAGCGCTTGGGCAGGGCAGGAGGAAGCTTTTGCTCTATGCAGGCCCTCCACATTCACCTAGCATCTTGCGGATTGAGTCTCCCTCATGATCACAACCTGCCCAGGCCACTGGTGCTGTAATGTCCATGTAACCAGATATGTGAGACAGGGCGGCTATGTGCCTGAACTTGTGACAGGGTGTGAACACGGTTATCTGTGTGTGAATGCCAGGCACTGAGTGTGGATTTGGGGGGCACGACTTGGTGTGACGGGGCCCTGGTCCAGAGTCCAATGGTGTTAGAATCCTCACTCTCCTTTGAACGGTCCCCGGCAGCTCTCCAGCGCCCCCTCCCCCTCTTCTGATAGTATGTAGGGGGAAACACCTGTTGGGGGGCTGGGATCGGCAGAGGCCCCCGGGGCCTCTCCCCCGGCGCCCCCGCCCGCCCTGCCCCTGTCGGGTCCCGCCCCCGCAGCCGCGCCGGCAGAGCCGCTAGTGAGCGCACCGCGGCCAGAGGAGCGCACGGCGGCAGGAGCGCACGGCGGGCGACCCCGCTCAGGGAAGCGAGCCGAGCAAGTGGCTGCCCGAGAGGCGGGCGGAGCAGAGGGAGCGCCGTGGAGACGCCGGGGGCACCGGGCCGCGCCAGGCTGGTGAGTGCGCCGCGGGCCGTGGGGAGCCAGAGAGCGGGCGTCGAGACCCCGTGGTCGTGGTCCCTAGCCCGCCCGGTCCCAGGCTCTGTCCCCGCCGCCCACTGTTCCCGCGCCTCCTCAGTGCTGGTCCTCTGCGCCTCTGCCTCGTCTCTCCGTCTGTTTCCTTGCTTCTGTCTCTATTTCCCCCTATTTACTGTCTCGCCCTGTTTCCTTCTAATCTCTTGTCTCTCTTCAGTCTCTGTCTCCTTCGTGCTGCGTCGCTATTTCCCGGTCCCTCTCAACCACTGTCTCACTATTTGTCTGTCTCTCCAGCTCTGTCTCTGTCCCTGTCCCTCTCTGGACTGACTGCCTGTCACTCAGGTCTTGTTATTTATCTCTTGCTTCTCTATGTCTCTTACCTTCCCTCTTTACCCAGCATCTCTATCAATCTCATCTCTCCCTACTTCTGTCTCTTCGCTCTTGTGTTTGCTGGATATCTCTGTCTCTTCCCACTATCTCTCATTATCTCTCAGTCTCATCTCTATTTCTATTTCTGTACCTCTCCTGTCATTGTCTCTCCATTGGATCTCTCTTTTGCTCTCGCCTTCTCTCCCCACTCCCCTCTCCTTCTCTCTGTTTCTTGGTCCTTGTCACCCTCTCTGATCTGCTGTCTCTACCTGTCCTCTGTCAATGTCCCTTTCCATCTCTTTGGGTCTTGTTTCTTGTCTCTCCTGTTCTTTCTACCTCTGTCTGTCGATCTCTGGGAAAGCTATCTTTCTGCTTTTTTTCTTGTGGCCCCCTTACACTTCCCTGAAACAGTGACCAGCTCCTCTTGTGCTGGGGGTTGTGGGGGCAGCAGGGCCCAACACTCATAATTCCCACCCCCACAGGCGGCCCTTTCCTCTGGGCCCCGCCTGGTGCCAGCCCCCTCACCAGCGGGGGGACTGCGCCTGGAAGCTGTAATGGAGGCCCTGCAGAGGCAGCAGGCAGCCCGCCTGGCCCAAGGGGTGGGGCCATTGGCCCCCCCACGCTCACTGCCACCACCACTACCTCCTTTGCCTGGCCCCCGGACCCTGCAGGCCCCTGAGGGGGCCTTGGGGGAGGTTGGGACTGAAGAAGAGGAGGATGCTGAAGAGGATGAGGAAGGGGAGGAAGCCGGGGCAGAGGAGGAGGCAGCCGAGGAGAGCCGTCCAGGGACACGGGGCCCCAGCTCACCTTCCAGCCAACCCCCTGGACCTCATCCCCATGAATGGACCTACGAGGAACAGTTCAAGCAGGTAGGACCCCCTCGATGTCAGGCCCTCTCCCCTTTCTCTGGGCAAAGGCAAAACCAGGGGATTCTTAGCCCACCCACCCCCACTGCCCTCTGCAGGATGGAAAGACAGAGACAGAGACTTGGAGAGAGGGGGAAGACTGAAAAATAGAAAATGACAGGAAGGGAGAAACAGACATCCAGAGACATGGAAAGAAGTGCATAGGCACACACTGAAAGGTGCAGGAGACGCCCAGAAACATGGAGGCATGACAGACTAGAGGCTTTTGGTGAGGCTGGAAGGAAAAGTGGGAGGGGTGAGGAGCTTCGAGAATTCTTTTGAGGGAGCGGGATCTGAGAAATGAGGATTCCAGTGCCAGAACCATCTTATCCTCCCTTCTCCCACATCAAGTCATAAGGTCATATTCCAGCAACCAGTTTGGGTTTCCTGGGCTGCCTATTTCTGTCTTTTGAAGTAGGCTGGAGGTTGCTAGTCCTCTGGCAAGCTGATAGCCCCCTCATCTCTTCCCTGGTGCACTGCCCTCATCCAAACCTCTCCCTGGCCTGAAGTCTGTGGGTGACAGTTCCTAGTCTGTGATGGCCACTACAGCCACAGTGTGACTAAAGGACTCCTGCACAGCTGGGAATGACAAGATCTTACTCATAGAGCCTTAATTTGAGGTTCTTCCTCTCTGTGGAATGCATCTGGTTGTTATTCTAAGGCACTGCTTCAGGTTGTCACTATGAGGGTATTATGAGGGACTCTGACTCTAGGTGTGTTGTCCTGGTAATGTTACTTGTAGGATGTTGGTCTTGGGTATTTTCCAGAAGTATTCATCTGTGCCTAGTACTCTGTGGCATTAGTGTCAAACTGGAAGAGTTATTCAGAGCTCTGTGGTTCTAGCGACTGTTTCTTCTGGCTGTAATTCTGGGAATTATTACTTGGAGAGCATGTGTGTTATTTGTTTGTATCCATCTAATACTTCAGGCTCAGTTCTTGTGGGAGTGTAGGTCTAACGTGAAACTCTAGGGTTTGTTACTTATGGGTGTTTTTTTTTTTTTTTTATTCTGAGAGTTCTTCTTGGGTAATGGAATGTTACCTATTGGTGTTACTCAGGGACTGTTATTCTGGGTAAATGACCGTTACTCTTGGGATTGTTTCTCCTGGGTGGTATTTGGGAGGTGAAACTGGAGATGAGGCTCCAGGTGACTGGAAATGTGTGGAATGACCTCTGGGCCTTCCAAGTTCTGACCCCACAGGTCCTGGGTGGTGCAGGGCCATTACCTCTGTGGCAGCCTCTATAGTGGAGAGGTCACTGTCCCTGGAAAGAGACCAGAAGGTGGGCTGAGGGGCTCCAAGTTTCAATCCAGGAGCTTCTGAGCATCTACTCTGCCTGAGGAATGGTTTAGAGGTATCTCTGCCCTTCGTCCCCAGCCTTGATACATGGAGATGTGAAAACCAAGAAGCCTTTGCAGGAATGAGCAAGAGTAAATGAGTGCCTCAGAGACATCTGTCAGTTTCTTCAATGTGATGCACTCTCCTAGCCTGACTTCCTCCCTAGGGCTCTGTGCATGCCCTGGAGGGCAGGCTGGGCCTCCTAAGCTTCCTCTCAGTCCCCTATTCCCCAGAGGAATCGTTTGAGTTTCCCAGGGCCTGCCTGGCCAGTGGAGGGTCTCTGCGTATATTAGAAAAAAGTGCCCCTACCTACCCTTACAGGGAGAGAGTCTAATGCCAGGGAGTCCACATTTCAGACCCTACTCACCCTTTCACTAAGAACCCTTATTCAGGGTATAACCTGAGTTGGGGTTCCAGGGGGCGGGGGGAAGCCAATGGAGCTGAAAAAATGACCTCAGTCCTTCCCCAGCTGTACGAGCTTGATGCAGACCCCAAGAGGAAGGAATTTCTGGATGACCTGTTTAGCTTCATGCAGAAGAGGGGTGAGTGGGGTGATGTAAGGGAAGGACCCCTACTTACCAGTTTTGAGGAAGGGAGACCCCAGGGTTTAGTCCCTAGGTTGGGTCCTCTCTGCAGAGGCCTGAGCTTGGCAACACCTATCCTTTGGGCCCTCAATAGCATCTTTAACCTCTGACCTTGCCCCCCTCCTCCACCCAGGGATTAATTAGTGGCCAGCCCACTGGCAGGTTAATGAGTGTGGGATCAATTGGGAGGGTGGGAGGGGGAACTGGTAGGGGGTTGGCTTGGGGGGGTTCCCAGGATTGGGAGGCTGGGAATGCCTTGTTCCTCTTTCAGTGGCCCTTTGTCCAGCCTTGTCTCTCCTCAGTTTCCCCTTGCTTTAGGCAGGGGAAACCCAATGTGCTCCACAGCAGGAAGGACTGGGATTAGACTGAAGGAAGGACTTCCCAAGGGGTAGGCTGGGGACCATGTGATTTGGGGTTGTGGAGGAGGAGGAATTCCTTTCCAGGAATCTCAGAGCTAGAAGAAAATGCAAGGGTCCAGGAGATCAGGGTGGGCGGCAGTCCATCACTTAGGCTTCTCCCCAGATTCATGGGTCGGAAGACTGACTCATTATCTCTCTCTACAAAGCTAATTAACTCACTCGGAGCTTGGCCTGATAAGCCACTAATTAACTAGCTGCACTGCACCCCCCCCCCCCCTTGGGGCAGCTGCGGGTCAAATTCCCCCAGGCTCCCACTGCAGGCCCAGCATCCTCTTTTGGGATCCTTTCTAGCCAGGGAGCATCAGTGGGACCCCAGGTCTTTTTTGCTTCCCTGGGAGGCCCAGTCATTCTCGAGGTCTGCCTCCGCTGGGGAAGTGGGGTAGGGTGGTCTGAGCAGGTCCCAGCATTCCCTCCCATCACCCTCAGGCCGGGAGCTCTGCCTCCCTCCGGTCCCTGCCTCCCTCCGCTCCCTCTGCTGAGGGAGGAGGTCCCGCGGGACCGATAATTTCCCCCCATTAATCAGGCCGCAGCTAATTGTTCGGGTCCAAAGGCGGCGGCGGAAGGGGACGGGATCGGTAAGGAATTAACTGGGGCCCATCGCTCAGCGCAGACAGGCCCCTTTGTCAGGACTGGCCAGCGGGGGCGGCGTGAGCTGCGGAGTTGGCGAGCCGAGCTGGGGGCTGCTGCTTCTCCTATCACCTATCCCCCGGTCTCGGGCAGCCATCCTGGGGCCCCTACTTAGGGGAGTCCAGCTCTTCAGCACTATCAGGAAGTCCTTACTACGGTCTACCCCAGGAGTCTACCCCAGGGGTCGGCAAACTTAAGCCTGCTGGCCAAATCTAGCTGCCAGCGGGATTAGAATGGTTTTTACATTTTTAAATAGTGGGAAAAAATTAAAAGACGAATGACATTTCAGGACATGTGAAATTCGAATTTCAGGGTCTGTAAATAAAGTTTTTATTGCAACACAGCCGGGCCCATTCCTATAAATATACTCTATACCTGCTTTCAATCTATGGCAGAATGGAGTAGTTCGGATAGAGGAGGTTTGACCCTCAAAGCCTGTAATATTTACCGTCTGGACCTTTACTGAAGTTTGCCGACCCCTGATCTAGTTTCCTGTCCTTCCTGCTACAATGCAGGGCTTGGGGACTCTGTGGACTCTGCCTGGAATCTCACCTCCCCATCCCTCCCTATTCCCTTTTCTCAGAGGTCTTGCGCTGTACCCTGGCCTCGCCCAGGTAACTGACTCCTTCAGTCCTTGAGGATGTCCGCAGACAGGATCTCAGTCTTAATGTCCTGACTCTCTGTCCACCTCCCACCAGGGACGCCAGTGAACCGTGTGCCCATCATGGCAAAACAGGTGCTGGACCTGTACGCGCTCTTCCGTCTGGTGACAGCCAAAGGTGGCCTGGTGGAAGTCATCAACCGCAAGGTGTGGCGGGAGGTCACGCGCGGCCTCAGCCTGCCCACCACCATCACGTCGGCAGCCTTCACACTACGCACCCAGTGAGGCCAGGCGCGCGAGCGTATCGGGGAAGGCGCGGGAAGGGGACCACAGAGCGTGGAGGGCCCAGGGGTACTTTCGTGGTGGGCTTGATCAGTTGGGTCCAGCCTCCCACCCACCCTGCCTTGTTCGTCCGTCCCTAGGTACATGAAGTACCTGTACCCCTACGAGTGCGAGACGCAGGCACTCAGCTCCCCGGGGGAGCTCCAGGCAGCCATCGACAGCAACCGACGCGAGGGCCGTCGTCAGGCTTATACCGCCGCCCCGCTCTACGGCTTAGCTGGGCCTACCCCTCGGGGAACCCCGGGCCACCTCTCGGTTCCGGGCGCCGCCCAGCTGACGCCTACGCCCAGCCCCGGTGCTGCCCAGGGCTCCGCCTCAGGCCTGCCCGCCCACGCCTGCGCGCAGCTGAGCCCGAGCCCCATTAAGAAAGGTGTGAGGGGAGAGGGGCTGAGGTTTGGGCGTCTCTGAGACCTAGGGGGTGTGCTGAAATATAGAGAACATTAAAATGTGGCGACTCTGAAGTCTGGGAGGCATTGAGGTATGAGGGCAGTAAGGACTGACAGGGCGCTGGGGTTTGCCGATCGCTAAGGTTCAGATGTACCGAGGTTTGGGGTCAATGAAGCCGTGGGAGGTCTGGGGTACAGGTTACTGCGATGTGGGCCTGAAGCTCAGAAAAAGGCCATTTATCTAGAGGAGGTCCATTCCACACCTGTCCAACTTGGGCTCCTATTTGCATGTAGTTTTTGCCTCCTGTGACCTGTATTATTTAATAACTAAGAACAAGGAAAGCCCCCACATTATCTTGGACCAACCTAGGCATATGTTGGCCCTTTGGGCTCGCCAGCTTCAGAGCCTCGAGGCTGAGACTCTGGATGGGGCGGGGCGGGGGCGAGGCAGATCACACTTGGTGCTTCAGCTTGGGTAACCTTCATTGGTCCCAGGCCTGGGAGGTGAACCAAATGCAGAGGCAGAGTTGGTTGGTCCAGAGAGTTGAATGACCTGTTCTTCCAGAGGAAAGCGGAATTCCAGCCCCTCGACTGGCACTGCCTGTGGGCCTGGCTTTGGGAACTGCAAGGGAGAAGTTGGCACCAGAGGAGCCGCCAGAGAAGAGGGCTGTGCTGATGGGGAACATGGACCCACCTCGACCTGGAGTTCCCCCCAGTTTCCTGCCCCGTGGCAAGGTTCCCCTGAGGGGTGAGGAGGGGTCTGTGCACTGAAGGAGAACATAGATGTTGGAGGTGGGGCAGAAAGATCCCTCAATAGACAACTGTATGATTATAGGTGTTGGGCAGAAGTGGAATGGGGGTTGTCTATAAGGATGGAGGGGGGAGCTTATAAGTCTGAAGCCTGATTCTCCAAAATGTGACTCCCTGCCCCTCCTGGACAGAAGAGCGGCTGGATGGGCCTCTCAATCTGGCAGGCAGTGGTATCAGCAGTATCAACATGGCACTAGAGATCAACGGGGTGGTCTACACTGGTATGGGTACTGCAGGCTGTCTATACTGGCATGAGGTCAGGGGTATTTGCTCTGGCATGGGGATTTTAGAATTTCTCAGCTAGCATGAGGTTCAGGGATATCCAAACTTGCATGGGTAATGTGGTGGTCAGGGGATTGCTACAATGGCATGGGTTAAAGTGGTGTCTACAATGGCATGGGGTCTAAGGCATGACCTCTCTGGCATGGGTACCATGGGATGTCTGCCTTGTCATGGGCCTATGTATCAGTGTAAATATTTCTTGTTTACCTGTTTGAGGGTATCTATATTGGCATAGGAGTCTCCACTGACCTAAGGGGTTTGTCCTCATTGGTTTGTGGCAAGGATATGTGTGTGGTGTTCTAACAATCAAGACACTGACTTTTGTTTTCCTCTTCTGTTTCTGTGCCCACTCCTTCCTGCCTGTGTTTTCCCTCTACCATCTACTCACCCCTTTGTCAGGTGTCCTCTTTGCCCGTCGCCAGCCTGTGCCAGCTTCCCAGGGTCCAACCAACCCTGCACCTCTTCTCCCTACAGGATCCCCTTCCAGCACCTCACCATGAGAACTCCCACTTGGAATTAAGAGTCCCAGCTCCAATGCTGAGGGGAGGGGAGGAGACATCCCCCACACCTTGATTCTTTCAGGGTGCCCACTCTAGGACCCAGCCCTGGGACATGACCCCCCCCCCCCAAGATGCCATGTGGGATTGAAGCCAAAGAGTTTTCTTTCAATGTTACATCTACCTCATTGTAAAGGGAGAGCATCTCTTCCCTGCCTGACCCCAACAGCATCAGCATCTACCAAAGATTTCTGCCCCCAGTAACCTCAGTCATCTCATGTGCCTCCCTGTGTCGATGTCATCTCTAGGACCCCACCTCTTCAAAACATACCTGCTTCTCTTCAGAAGCCATGTGAAGGGTTAGGTTGGGGTGTTGTGAAGGAGTCGTCCCTCAGGTCACATCTGAACAATAAAGCTGCAGTCCCTCCCTCTCCAGTGCCTTCTCTCCTTTTTCTTTGGGTCTGGGGGTTGAGGTCAGAGGTTCTCAGAGGGGACGAGAGAACAGCAAAGGTCCATGAAAGTAGAGGGGCTGGGGGTGTGTGTGCCTGGATGGCTCAGTAAGTTAAGCCTCTGCCTTTGGCTCAGGTCGTGGTCTCAGGGTCCCGGGATCGAGCCCCCTCATCGGACTCTCTGCTCAGGAGAGCCCCCTCTCTCTGCCTGCCTCTCTACCTACTTGTGATTTGTCAAATAAATAAATAAAATCTTTTTTTAAAAGGAAGGAAGGAAGGAAAATAGAGGGGCTGTATTTCATGACTCTGACTGCCTGAGTTCAAATCCTGATTCTACTACTAGAGTGTGGGGTGGCCTTGGGCAAGACATTTAATCGCTTGAACCTCTAAGACTCTTGATTGTGGTATCCCAGGGAGTCTCCTACTGATCTATGGGAAAGGATCAATCCTTTAAAAATAGGTGTATTTATATGGGCAATCTCGGGGAATAGGGTGGGAAACCTTTCCGGTACCCTGGAATTAGAAGAAAGGCAAAACCTTGTCTTGACAAGCAGAAGCTGGAAGCTAAGGTAGGGCTTGACAACTTGGCTAGGGTAACCGTTGCCTAGGTAACCAGACAGCTTTTGACATCTTTCACGGGCCCTGTCGGTCACTTCCGGCATCGGAGGGCTGAATCGTGACGACACTTCCTGTATCGTGGTTCAACCACGCACTCGGATTAGCCAACCTTCTCTATTTGGCCGGATGTCCCGCCTTCTGGTTGATCCCCGGCTGAGGCGGGGTGGCAGTAGCTATGGCGGCTGTGACTGATGTGCAGCGGCTACAGGCCCGTGTGGAGGAACTGGAGCGCTGGGTGTACGGGTCGGGCGGGCCGCGCGGCTCGCGGAAGGTGAGCGATCTGGTTTCCAGTGCTCTCTTTTTGGGGCAGAGCAAGAGCGGTCTACTGGCCTGGTCCTTGGGATGGATGCTACCACTCCAGTTTAATCTCCCGCAGCCTGGCTTTTGACATAATAAAGGTTCGAAACCTTCCAGAGCTTATCGGACCCTCGGGGTCCATTTTCATATGGCGTGCACTGCGGGTTATTAGCACCAATTGCAATGGGCTCGGTGTGAACTCTGACTAAGACGCCTCCTCTGTCCTCGCGGACTAGCTTGGGGAGACCTAACACACTCGAGAAACTGACTAGAGAGAGTATCATGAAGAGCTGGAGTCCGCAGTGGAAGGGCCGTCACAGAGCGCTGCGTCATTAATTGCTAAATACTGTACAGAAGGAAAGCCATGGGACACCAGAGGAGGCAGAGCAAAGGTGGATAAGGAAGGCCCCCGGGATGGGAGGCGAGGTCTGAAAGAGCCAGGACTAGGCGGGAAAGAGATTGGGTACCCCATGTTGAGATATGGACCGGACTCCTTCACACCAGTGACTGGATTTTGACAACCGTGAAGCTTAGTTCTCTCAACCCCCACCCCCTCATCCCCTTTTTACTATGAGAAGATCTTTTACTGAAGGCGGAGTGTCAGGCATTCCCTGGCGTTAAGTGCATCAGAGGTAATGATGTCTTTTGTACATTTCTTCTGGAATTAGTTGTCAGTAACAGATTATGCCCCATTTGAGAACTGATTTCTCAAAACATTTGCTTCAGTTGACATCTATGACACTAAATCCTAATTTTTCTCCTTCCTCTATAGCTGTTGCTGCTTAGTCCTATTTGCCTCCCCATATATTCGACCCTTGCATATTGGCATTCCTTATCCTGTATTCTAAAATACAGGTTTTAGAAACCTGGGTGAGATCATTCACTCCTATAGCCTCTCCCTTTGTTTAACACTTTAATATCGGGACTCCACACCCTCTACCCCTAAAGTCTAGGTAGGTTCAGCTAGAGAGATAGGAACCAGGGAATATAATATATAGGATATACTAATGCCCTATGAATGCAATTATAGCTAATTATCTCCCTAATCAGACTTGAAGCTTCCCAAGGACTACATGATTATCTTTCCCTTCACACTGAGGATTCCCGGAAGGTGGGGTTGCATCTCCTTTAAGGCAAAAGAAGGGGCCAGCCTACTTTGCTGGGACAAGGAGATTTGGGAGTCTGAGGGAATGAGTGTTTTTTACCTCTTTCAAGCCTTGAGTCAAGAGGTGAATCTTGGAATTAACTTTCAATCCTCTTACAGGTGGCTGATGGCCTAGTCAAGGTACAGGTGGCTTTGGGGAACATTGCCAGCAAGAGGGAGAGAGTGAAGATTCTGTACAAAAAGAGTAAGTGATTCCATAGGGTGCCTGCCTGACCTTCCTATGCCCGTGCTTCGTGGGATGTGGTCCTTGCCCTCCAGCCCAGTAGGTCACTGGAATTGCCCTATAGGGATAGAATGTGAAGATGTTTTCTTGCTGAAATGGTAAAGTGGGGTGTTGTGCTTAAACTCCAAGCCCATGATAGTGTCCTAAGTTATGGGATAAGACTCTGCCTCAAAGATCCTCTTGGTAGAGTAAGGAGGAGAGATATGGGATTTCCATAGGCAAGGTTCAAAGGCAGGAAAGAAATTAGATCCTGAGAGCCCCAGGGTCTAATTTTTTTTTTCCCATACCTTATTTTTTTTAGCCATACCTTTTTGCTATGTCAAAGCAAGCAACCTAAAAATTAGAAAAAGCTCTGACTTGTCTTGGTGGCACTAAGGGGCAAGGGACCTTCCACCTTTGTTGAAGATAGGTCAGTGGGAAAGGTGAGGGCCCCAGAATAGTGGAGGCAGTTGTTCCCATCTGTAAAGGCTGAGGTTAACCAGGACGTGGTCAGAGGGGAGAGAAAGGGAGATGAGGCCTGATGGAGGTCTGCTGATGGCCACTGTGGATGTCATCTTCCCACTCAAGGCTCTCCCCAAGGTTGACCACTGATATCCTTCTAATATCCCCTAATATCCTTCATAAGACAGATTCCCCACTCCCCAGCCCCATCCCATTTTCCATCTTGCTTCTTTTCTAGTTGAAGACCTGATCAAATATCTGGATCCTGAATACATTGACCGCATTGCCATACCTGATGCCTCTAAGCTGCAGTTCATATTAGCAGGTAGCGCTGGACAATGTATGCACATGCATCTGGGGATTATGGTTTGTGGGGGAAGCTGGGCACAGAGATGGCCACCCTGACAGTTCTCTCATGGATACAGCTCTGGAATCTGCATCTGGAATTCTGGCCTAGCTCTGGGCTGAGGCCTGAGGTCATCATGTAGTCCTCTAGTAGGCTTTGGGTGTGGTATCATTCTGAGCCAGCTGCAGGCCATAGTGCCAGCAACAGTGGGAACTACTTCAGTGTTCTATCAGTGATCAATCTCTAGGATTTTCCTTCAGAACCTTCCTCACTTCCATTCACTAGACAGGAGAGCTTCTAGGAAAGGGTGGGAGCAGAACATTGCATTTGGGAGAGGCGAGAATATTGGTATGAGTTTCAACATTTTTCTTTCATGTGAGAAAGCACTGGGATTTCATAGTTCTAGACCTGGCAATGTCTGCTACCCAGTTTAGTCAGCCACTCCATGAGGTAGGGCTTGCCAAGTACCTTTGTTTGTTCATTCATTCAAAAGATGTTTAATGACTGATCATCTGCTGTGATCCAGACCATCCTTGGTGTGAGGTATATGGTGGTGAACCAGGACATCCTTAAACCATTGCCATGGCTGAGGTACCAAGTTCAGGAGATCTTCTCCTACACCAACTATGGAGTCCAGCCTCTCCATCCCTCCCTGTCCACTGCCTCAGTGTCTGTCCCCTCATACATGAATAGTTACAGTCGAGTCCTCTTCCTTACCCTAGTCTTTCTCTCCATGCATGTGATCCAGTATCCTCTTCCCCAAACACATCAATATGCTACTTTGTCTACTTTGGAACCTCAGCATCTCCATCTCTCTCCTTGCTAGAATAAAATCCTAATTCCTTAGCCTGCCAGTCAGAGCCTTCTATAGTCTGTGGATCTACCTTCCCATGCAGCTGTTTCCTGTGCTTTCTTTGCACCAATTCAGCCAATTGACTTCTTTTTCCTCTATTAATTGATAAGCATCCTTGCCTCCCAACATTTGACATAATAGTCATCTCTTCTTGAATGTGCTTCCTACTCGCTGCAGCCATTGAAATCACCTGTGCCAGGTCCAGTCCAGATCCTGCTCTTCTCACTGGGCTCTGTTGTTACTGCCCCATCTCTCCAGAAGCTTGTAATTGTCCCTGCCTCTCAGGGCCACTGAGCAGAACCTGCCGGATAGTCTGGCGCATGTCTCCTCTTTCATACCATCCCAGGAGTCCTTGGGCATGGAGACCCAAGTCTGAAGTACTTTGTCTCCTGTGGTGTCAGAGGGACTTACTGAGTTTGCTAATAGGAGGCTAGAGAAAGAGGCCCTAGAGTTAAAACTTTAAGACAGGTGGGATTTGGAGAAATGTAGAGGCTCTTTGGGCTCAAGATGGCTCATACCGGAGGCATCTAGGAGAGGTGGGGGCAGAATGGGGGAATATGCACCTAGAGAAGGGGCAGTGGGCAGAGTAGCTGCCCCATGCTCCAGGACTCAGCCATCTCCCCTGCCATGTTCTCAGCCCCTCACATAGAAGTAGCAGTGCCCAGGCTTACCTCAC